ACTCACTTGAGCCCAACAGTTGAAGGTTGCTGTGAGCTGTGATGCCACAGCACTCTACCCAGGGGGACAGCTTGAGGCTCTGTCTCAAAAAAAAGATAGGAGTTTCACTATATCACCCTTGGTAGAGTGCTGTGGTCTCTCAGCTCACAGTAACCTCAAACTCTTGGGCATAAGTGATTCTCTTGCCTCAGCCTCCCAAGTAGCTGGGACTACAGGTGCCCACCACAAGGCCCAGCTGTATTTTGTTACAGTTGTCATTGTTGTTTAGCAGGCCTAGGTCAGATGTCAGTGTATGTCGCTGGCACTGTAACCACTTTACTGTGGGCACTGAGCCAGTAATGTGTGTATATATATATATATTTTGTACTTTTAGAGACAGAGTCTTACTTTGTCGCCCGCAGTAGAGTGCTGTGGCGTCACAGCTCAGAGCAGCCTCCAGCTCTTGGGCTTAGGCGATTCTCTTGCCTCAGCCTCCCAAGTAGCTGGGACTACAAGCGCCCACCACAGCACCCAGCTATTTTTTTGTTGTTCTTGCAGTTTGTCCAGGACTAGGTTCGAACCTGCCACCCTCATTATATGGGGCAGGCTCTCTACTCAATGAGCCATAGCCACCACCCCAGTATTGTATTATTTTTTGTTTTGTTTTGTTTTGAGACAGAGCCTCAAGCTTTCACCCTGGATAGAGTGCTGTGGCATCACAGCTCACAGCAATCTCTAACTCCTGGGCTTAAGCAATTCTCTTGCCTCAGTCTCTCAAGTAGCTAGGACCACAGGTGCCCGCCACAACATTGAGCTATTTTATGGTTGTAGTTGTCATTATTGTTTGGCAGGCCTGGGCTGGATTCGAACCTGCCTGCTCTGGTATATGTGGCTGGTGCCTTAGCTGCTTGAGCTACAGGCACTGAGCCACCAGTATTGTGTTTTGGATTGTTATATTTCTGTTCATAAGCAAAATGGACTTCTATATTTATTTTTGTGTATTGTCCTTATAATTTTGGCATTTTTGGCAAATGGCGTTGTTTTTTTCCTATGACAGTTTCACTATGTTGTCCTCAGTAGAGTGCCATGGCATCTCAGCTTGTGGCGTCACAGCTCACAGCAACCTCAAACTCTTGGGCTTAAGGGATTCTCTTGCCTCAGCCTCCCAAGTAACTAGGACTACAGGTGCCTGCCACAACGCCCGGCTATTGTTGTTTTTATCTTGTATCTTAATCACAGTACCTCTTGGAGTATCCCTGCTCTCTGAACTCAGAGCAGTGTGGCTCTGCTGAGTTACACTATGGCTTGTATTTGGGCTTCCCCTTCCCTCTGCTCCGAGTTCCCGGGGTAGAATTGGCCTGTTCCTTGTAGACTCTTTGATGAGTCCCCTGGAAATCATAGAGGCCATGTGTCTCTTGCTGTCCTGCCTCAAGGAGCTAGACAGATGTGGACAGAAAAGACTGCCATGTCCCAGATCCTTACCCAACCCCACCCTTGCTCCCCACGAGGCTCTGCCTATCCCCTGACAACCCCCTTTATGCCTGGACACCAGAGGAGACTGAGCCCTGTGCCCCACTTCTAGCCATGCCAACACTGTCTCCTTCTCTGCCGTACACAGCAGGATTCCTGGTCTTCAAGCCTGAGCTGATCTCCCGGCTGGAACAGGGACAGGAGCCGTGGGTCCTCGACCTGTATGGAGTGGAAGGGACAGAGGCACCAAGGACCTTTCAGACAGGTGAGGCTCAGGCCTTGTTCCAGAGAAGTTCTTTAAGGAGAAACAGCCAGTGGGACCTCAGAGCAGTGGGAGGCTAGGGACCTGGTTCAGGTAGAAGAAAGGAAGCAAAGACCAGTTGTGGGGCTACCTCGGGAAAAACCAAACCACAGAAAAACCACAAAATACCTGTCATTTCAGCAAAAGTAGAGTTTATTTTTTAAATCATACCACATTTGTTCCATTTGTAATTTCACTAATAACTCTTTTTGAACAAAAGTACAGGCTCGGCACCTGTGGCTCAAGTGGCTAAGGCGCCAACCAGATACACCTGAGGTGGCAAGTTCAAATCCAGCCCGGTCCTGCCAAACAACAATGATGGCTGCAACCAAAAAATAGCTGGGCGTTGTGGCGGGCACCTGTGGTCCCAGCTACTTGGGAGGCTGAGGCAGGAGACTCGCTTGAGCCCAGGAGTTGGAGGTTCCTGTAAGCTGTGATGCCAGGGCACTCTACCCAGGCGGACAGCTTAAGGCTCTGTCTCAAAAAAAAAAAACAAAAAAACAAACCTTTGGATCCAAGTGAAACATGAACTATAGCCTTGATAGCCTTTCCTCAGGTGGATGTGTTCCCTGATGAAGCTGCCAGCATAGCATCCCAGAGCCCAGGTGACCAGTAGCCTCTCAGATCAGGCGTAGGGGTACAATTATTAGTCTCCTGGGGCTGCCATAACAACATGCCACAAACTGGAGGCTTAAAACAACACACATGCCGAATCTCACAGCTGTGGAGGCCAGAAGTCTGAAGGTGTCAGCAGGGCCTTCCTGGGAAGGCTATATGTATGGCAGTGATTTTCAACTGGTATGCCATAAGAGGATCTTAGGTGTGCCTCAGAAATTTGTAAAGATCATTAATTAAATTATTTTCTTTTTCCTTTTTTTTTTTTCTTTTTGAGACAGAGCCTCAAGCTGTCACCCTGGGTAGAGGGCCTTGGCTTTACAGCTCATAGAAACCTCCAACTCTTGAGCTCAAGCGATTCTCTTGCCTCAGCCTCCTGAGTAGTTGGGACTACAGGCACCCAACACAACACTGGCTATTTTTTGGTTGTAGTTGTCATTGTTGTTTGGCGGGCCCAGGCTAGATTTGAACCCACCAGCTCTGGTGTATGTGGCTGGTGCTGGTTGGGCTACAGGAGCCGAGCCTAATTAAATTATTTTCAAAAGAAGTTCAAAGCACAGCCTGGCAAGGTGGCTCACGCCTATAATCCTAGCACTCTGGGAGGCCAAGGCAGGTGGATTGCTTGAGTTCATGAGTTCAAAACTAGCCTGAGCCAAAAATTGAGATCCCGTCTCTACTAAAAGTAGAAAAACTATTTTCTATTAGTTTTGGGGTTTTTTTTTTTTTTTTTTTTGAGATAGAGCCTCAAGCTATCACCCTAAGTACACTGCCATGGCATCATAGCTCACACCAACCTTCAACTCCTGGGCTCAAGCCAGTCTCCTGCCTCCACCTCCCAAGTAGCTAGGATAGCAGGTGCCCGCCACAATGCCCGGCTATTTTTTGATTGTAGCTGTCGTTGTTTGGTGGGCCTGGGCTGGATTCGAACCCACCAGCTCAAGTTACATGGCTGACACCTTAGCCACTTGAGCCACAGGCACCGAGCCTGTTAGTTTTTAATAGAAAAAATTATTCGATAGAAAAAAAGGATCACGGCTCGGCGCCTGTGGCTCAAGTGGCTAATGCGCTAGCCACATACACCTAAGGTGGTGGGTTTGAATCCAGCCCGGACCTGCCAAACAACAATGACGGCTGCAACCAAAAAATAGCCGGGCATTGTGGCGGGCGCCTGTGGTCCCAGCTACTAGGGAGGCGGAGGCAGGAGACT